CAGATCTGCCCTCACAGAGGAGGGAAAGCTTGTACCTGAAGGCAGGCCGGGGGGGGGCTCTGCAACTTACCTGGCTGCTTCTTGCTCCTCGTGGCTCAGCTGAGGGCTGCTGGGAGCAGGGGGCGGGGCTTGTTGCATGTGCCCGCCCCCGGGGCTCCTTACTGCCGGAGCTCCGCTCCTGTGCGCTCCCGCAGGAAATGACCCCTGATCCTTACGCATTCCTTACTGAATGTCCCATTTGCCGAGTCTACTGACTCACTCTGTGTAATCCGCAATTTATCCCTCGGAGAAAAGTAGACCGTAAGTAGCGTAAATAGAAATAAAATTATTCGCCCTCCAGAAATCCACTCCCAAAGTCTGGGGGCACTCAGGAAAGACATTTCATGTATTTGATTTGTTTGTTTTAACCTCCCAAAATCCCTAGCAGCAGACCTGGGGACCCTGATCGGGTATAAAGGCCGCGTTAAAATATTTTGAATTAATTTTTTTTTAAAAAAACAACTAACTCTAGGCACACTGAAGCCAATTTAGTTTAGCCCTTAGTTACGAAGGCTGCTCTCGCACTGCTGTTTCTCATCCTGCCTTAGTTCTGCTTTCTCTGGAGGGTCTCTTGCCTCCCGGGTCATGAGGACCAATGTCTATCTCTTGCAGTTCCCTGGCCGACACCTTGATAAGGAAAGGAGGCGCCCTGGAGCCCATGGAGTCTTCGTCGTCGTCCATCGAGGCCAAGCTGAGGATGGAGGGGGTGGAGCTGAAAGAGGAGTGGCAAGACGAAGACTTCCCACGGTAAGGGGGGGCCCCCGGGACAAAGCACGCGGACCGGCTCTTTCTCAGAACGGATCTGATCTCAGCCCGGCCGTGAAAACTGCTGGTTTTCTGTCAAGGGCTGGACGGAATAAATGTGTTCCGATGTGTCTGTCTTCTCTCCTAGACCGCTGCCAGAAGACGACCACGTCGACGATCTGCCGGATGCAACGGGAGGAGGGGACTGTTCTGGCAAGTGCACGCAGCCTGAAACTATTTTAGCCACAAGACCAAGGGAGTTACTGCTCTCTTGAGAGCCAGTTTGGCATAGTGGTTAAGTGCACAGACTCTAATCTGGGAGAACCGGGTTTGATTCCCTACTCCTCCACTTGCCGCCGCTGGATGACCTTGGGCCAGTCATAAGTTCTCTCAGAGTTGTTCTCTCAAGGGCAATTCTGGAAAGAGCACTCTCAGCCCCCACCTACCTCACAGGGTGTCTGTTGTGGGGAGGGGAAGGGAAAGGATTATGTAAGCCGCTCTGAGACTCCTTTGGGTAGTGAAGGGCAGGGTATAGATCCAATTTCTCCTCCTCCTTTTGCCATCAAGTCACAGCTGGTTTATGGTGGCCCCATAGGGTTTTCAAGGCAAGAGACGTTCAGAGGTGGGTTTGACCTTGCCTGCCTCTGCGTAGCAACCCTGGGCTTCCTTGGCAGTCTCCCATCCAGGTACTAACCAGGGCCAGTCCTGCTTAGCTTCCAAGATCTGATGAGATCGGGCTACTCTGGGCCACCCAGGTCAGGGCGAGAGACAAAGAGAGGCAGTTCGCCGTTGCCTGCGTCTGCGTAGCAACCCTGGACTTCTCTGGTGGTCTCCCATCCAAATATTATCTAGAGCTGACCCTGCTTAGCTTCCGAGATCTGCCTAGCTTGGGGCATGCGGGTCAGGGCAGATAAAACAGAGGTAGTTTGCCCTTGCCTGCCTCTGCAGAGCAACCCTGGGCTTCCTTGGCGGACTCCCATCCAAGCACCAACCAGGGCTGGCCCCGCTTATTTATTTATCATCAAATTTATACCCCGCCCTCCCCACAAAGCGGGCTCAGGGCGGCTTCCATAAAAGCATAAATACATTAAAATTACACAACTGTTTAACCACACAAATAAAAACATTATAAATACAAAGTGCTGGCGGCAGTTAAAATTAACCTTGATGGTATATTGTCAGAGTAAATTTCCACTGCCCAGATGTTCCATGATGTTTCTGCTCCTAATCAGTTGGATGTTAAAACCACAGACCAGAGCTCTGCAGTAGCGGCCTGCATTAGCGGTTTGGAGTAGCGGCGGCCCCTAATTAAATGCCTGGTGGAAGAGCTCCATCTTGCAGGCCCTGCGGAACTGCAAAAGGTCCCGCAGGGCCCTGATCTCCTCCGGGAGCTCATTCCACCAGGTAGGGGCCGCCACTGAAAAGGCTCCGGCCCTGGTGATAGCTAGCTTGGCCTCCCTCGGGCCAAGGAGGGTCAGCCGATTTTGAGACCCAGACCGTAGTGCTCTCTGGGGTATATACGGGGAAAGGCGGTCCCGCTTAGCTTCCAGGATCGAAGAAGATAAGGCTTACTTGGGCCATCCAGGTTGGGACAGAGACACAGAGGTGCCTTTGCCTGTCTCTGCATAGCAGCCCTGGTATTCCTTGGTGTTCTCCCGCCCAAACATTGACCAGGGCCGACCCTGCTTAGCTTCCGAGATCTGACGGCTTCTGGCTCACCTGGGCTATCCAGGTCAGGGCTCTGCTGTCCTTAAATAGCGAGTAGTTCATCTTGGGGAGTTAGGGTGGCGAAAGAGCAGAACGATCCGCATATCCCGCCCAGTGCCTTCTACTTTTTTCACACACTTTCCAGTCCCCCGGTGGGTGGATCGACCCAGTTCCGGATGAGTCATTTCCAGTGGAACAGGAAAGCAGGAAAACGTCTGCACGGTAGCTGCCTTTAAACGAGGCATTCACTGCCAAAGCTTTTAAACCAGGAGTCCCCAACCTTCGGACTCCTTCGGGATTCTGGCACAGTCTGGTAGGCGCAGCTGCAAAATGGGCTGCCGCACGAGGCGGAGCCAGCCACCGAATGGGCTGCCGCACGAGGCGGAGCCAGCCACGAAACGGCTGCCACATCTTACCGTCAGTCACACAACGGAGATCCTTGAGCTGTGGTGGCAGCTGCCGCCGAAGCGGCGTTTTCAAAAATCTGCCTGCCCATCCGATCTCCAGTGGTGAATCAGAAGCCTTGCTGGACAAAAGCCCCACTCACTTTCTAAAAGCACTTGGCGCCCACGGGCAATGTTCCCTCTAAGGTGTGGAATCCTGTGAGCAAAAATGCTACTTTGTGAGCGACTGGCATTCAAGTGGTGAGCGAGCCATTTGGCTACTGCATGGATTAGTCTGCTCTGGAGCCCTGCTGGGTCAGACCAGTGAGGGTCCATCTCGTCCAGCATCCTGCCCCACGCAGAGCCCAACCAGTTCCTCTGTTCAGTCCCCGGACTTGAATGTAATCCTCCTTCCCTCCCCCTTCCTGACCTCTCAGGAGCCGGTGACGGCAAAGCGAAGAAGAAGCTCCTGGCCCCGGACATCAGCCTGACTCTGGATCGGAGCGAGGCGTCCGTTCTGTCGGACGAGTTGGACGAGAGCGGGGAGATCGACCTGGATGACATGGACACCCCCTCCGAAAACAGTAACGAGTATGAATGGGAAGGTAAGACCCCCCCACATCTCTTGGCTGAGCGCCACATCTGTGCCTCGTCTCGGCCGTGGGCCTTTGGGGGCGGATAGTCTGGTCATGGCTCTCTGCCACCCGCTGCGGCCGAACCTCTGCGCGAGGCTGACAAGCCGGGATGACAAAAACTGGGGGGACTCGCCTGCCCCGTTCCCACGGGGCGCTGGGCCCGGTTCCAACCTGCGCGGTCGATTCCTTGTTCGAAAAGGCACCGTACGGTTGCTCGGTGGCGACTGATGCTCGGGCAGTGGTCTCGTCTCCGTGTCTCGCCCGATCTATAAATGAGCAAGTGGTGATCTTGGACGGCATCGGAACAGGGGTGTCAAACATCAGGCCCGGGGGCCGGATCTGGCCCGTCCGGGGCTCTTATGCGGCCCGTGAGCCACTGATGCAAGGGAGGGAGAGTGGGCGGAGCCACTCCATTGTGGCTTCAGCACAGCAGAACCACCTCGTCTGCAGCAGTCAAGCGTCGGTGGGAGCACCTGCCCAGCGGCTGCACTGCTGCCTCTCCGGTCCACCTCTGTGGGTTCTCCTCTGCACCCCCCTCCCAGCCCAGGGGGCCTTGCAGTGAGGACACACCAACTAGGAGCTCACCAGCTGCTGTCCTTTATATACAGTTTTGTCAGAACCCACAGCTAGCAATGAAGCAGATGCATTCAGGAACGGTTATACTTTTATTGCAAAGCTATGGATGCAGTAACACAGGCACTGTTAAGAATGGCGGCAACCCATATAGGGTATTCGTATGCACACACCCCCAATGGCATGGGCCAATTAGGGACCCTCGCACACGCGGGACAAGTTAGGAAACTGTTAGGTGGCTAAAGCTGGGAACCAGGGGTCTCTCGCGATGAATAGGAGACTCCCAGACAACACAACCTCCTCCTGCACATCTGTAGAGATAAGCGTTTCAGCAAAGGCCAAACAGCAGGGATAGGACTGCAATAGCAACTACCAAGACACAGAATGAACTCCCCAACCCCCATGGCAGCATAGCTGACAAGTTTCTATCTCCAATACCAGTTTGGTGTCGTGGTTAAGTGCACGGACGCTAATCTGGGAGAACCGGGTTTGATTCCCCACTCCTCCACTTGCAGCTGCTGGTGTGACCTTGGGCAAGCCGTAGTTCTGTCAGAGCTGTCCTTGAAAAAGAGCAGTTTCTGTCAAGAGCGCTCTCTGCCCCGCCTGCCTCACAGGGTGTCTGTTGTGGGGAGGGGAAGGGAAAGGAGTTTGTCAACCGCTCTGAGACTCCCTTGGGTAGTGAAGGGCGAGGTATAAATCCAGTCTCCTCCTCCTCCTGTTCTTCAGTTTGGTGTAGTGCTTAAGTGTGTGGACTCTAATATGGGAGAATGGGGTTTGATTCCCCACTCCTCCACTTGCAGCTGCTGGTGTGACCTTGGGCAAGCCGTAGTTCTGATAAGAGCTGTCCTTGAAAAAGAGCAGTTTCTGTCAGAGCTCTCTCAGCCCCACCCATCTCACAAGGTGTCTGTTGTGGGGAGGGGAAGGGAAAGGAGTTTGTAAGCCACTCAGCGACTCGTGAAGGGTGGGGTGTAAATCCATCTCTTCTCTTCTTCTTCTACCCAGCAGAATGTTTTATGGCACACATGGTAGCCGGGCCCAAAGCTCTCTTCCTCAGACACCTGCCAAGGTGCTACTGGACCTGGATCTAGAGTAAGAAGAGCAGTTCTTTGGAATGAGTGACCAACAGTTTAGGGCAGGCAACTAACTTGTCTTTTGTGTATATCAGGGGTGTCGAACTCATTTGTTATGAGGGCCGGATCTGACATAAATGAGACCTTGTTGGGCTGGGCCATGTGTGTCATAAAAGGTAATGCCAGGTAGCTTTATAACTTTATAAAGCTTTAAACTTTATAAAGGACACCAACACATAGGGTTTGCTTAAAACAGTAGCACTCTTGCAATATTTTTTTTATTCAACAGTGTCTGATAATGGACACCTTTTGCTGTGAATTATTGCATCAAAGTGTCTGTGCTGTTGCAATCTTGAGTGTGCCGTTCAGGTGTGTCTCTGTAAGCTGCAAACCTATGATGACGCAGCAGCAGCAGAACTGGAAGAAGAAGCAGAAGACAGCCGGTTCCACTGCAGGCCTGATAGAAGCCCTCCAGGGGGCCTGATCCAGCCCCCGGGCCACATGTTTGACACCCCTGGTGTATATGGTAGCAAGGACTGTGGCAGTGCGTTGCTCAGTTGTGCTTCTAATGTGTCAGAGAACTGGGACAAGATCAATACAGTTTCTCGGGATGCACCCCATGGAACATTCCCCCAGGTGAGGGAGTCTTTCCGTGCCGCTAGAGGCTCCTTTGAGCCTCTTCTCTCAGAGGAAGGCACTTCTGTGGATTCAAGCCCTACGTGTGTTCTTTACGATGCTGTGAGCGAGAGAGGGCGGAGAGTCGCGTGTCACTTGAATAAGGTTTCTGTCTCTTCTCTTCTCTTTAATGCGGCGGTCAGCGTTTTCCTGGAGGGGATAGTTTCCATTAACAGCTCGGTCTTGGAAACCAGCTACTAACACGCGGTAGTTTCTCTCACACCTGTGTGGGTAAGACTTGCGCTACTGACATTCCCTTAACCAAGTCCCGATGGCGATGCGTTTTCATGAGCGCCTCCCCTAAATACCTGAGATTTTGCATAGATATGATTTGAAACCTCTATTTGCATGTCTGCTGCGAACCGGTGGGTTGAAATGGCTTGCTGCTAAATCAGCAATGAATGGGGCAAATGTTACTTGGAGGTCTCTTTGCACAGAGCGGTCCCCAAGTGTTTTCAGTGCTAATCCGAGATTCAGGTGGGTAGCCGTTTTGGTCTGAAGCAGCAGAATCAAGTGTGAGTCCAGTGCAGGGGTCGTTTCGTAGAAAAAGAGCTAGGGGAACTCATTAGCATAACTCATAAGCATATGCCACACACCCTGACATCACCGGAAGTGTGTCATAAGGCCACACGCCCTGACATCACTGGAAGTGTGTCATAAGGCCACACCCCCTGACATCACCTGAAGTGTGTCATAAGGCCACACACCCCGCCCCCAACGGTCCCGG